GGGGGGGGGTTCAGGGGGGGTCTCCTCCCCTGAAATAAAGTGCCGTAACATCTAAACTAACAATTTGCGACGTTTTTCAATGCCAAAATCGTGTTCAGGGCCTTAAAAAACTACAATAAGCTACAAAATAAAACCATTTATTTGACGGGAGGGTTTCTATAAATTTACCCAATGAACGCCCACAAACAATCAACAGCAGGCAGCCCCTACCGTAAGCTTTACACGGTCGAATCTTCTCAGCCTTTGTCCTCGACGATCGCGCCTTTCTGAACCCTGCCAGACAAGATCCGGCCTGAGACTGAGACTGCGAGCCCCTTCTGTTGTCTGAGCAGACGACATGGTTCGGGACAGATCGGCTCCGAACTTCCACGGGGCTGATCTGGGCACTGATTTTCCTGACGACCGGTCGTTTGGATGCGACAGGGGTGGTGGAGTTTCTGTCTCTCTGACTCCTAGCTCGGCTGGCTCTGTTGGAGAATCTGTCTCTTGAGTTCATCTTTGGAAGATTAAAAGACCTAATTCTCTGTCTCCAGTGGAGGTGACTGGCCACAATTATACCATTTATTTAGAACACCACAATTACTTGGGGTCAGGTTTCTTTCTAAGCTTGCTTCTAGTAATACTATGTAGCTTAGTGGTGCAGTGATTGCATGGACCTAGAAATCTAGATCTAATAGGCCTAAACTCAAATTTTGCAGGCTATAATTGTTTTGCCTTAGCGGATATGACGTTTTGCTCAAGGTCGGCGAGAGTACATGACAATGAATCGAATAAGCACTCACATAGAAGAACACAGAGAGAGAGAGAGAGAGAGAGAGAAGAGAGAGAGAGGGGGGGAGAGAGAGACACAGACAGACAGAGACAGAGAGAGAGCGATCGTAAGAAAAGAAAAATAAATAAAAAGCTTCAATTCAAGAATTACACTAAACCAAGTTCTATTATTGTAAGGGGTAGTACTCACATCAGGTCCGGGGGGTCCTGGGGGTCCGCTGAATCCACGGTTTCCAGAGTTTCCCTGTTGGTGAAGAGAAAAACAAGTAAGGGTTAGATATTGTAGATCTATGTTTTACTCTGTTTGCCAAACGTTCTGACTATAAGATGAATTTATAATACTTAGGTTTTTATCAATTTTACGGTATATGCAAAGTCATTTGAGAAAGAGATCGATTCTTACGGTTTTTCTCCCTTTAACTGCAGTGGCTGTCTTTAATACTGTATTTAATTGCTGTTTTCGGTATTTGCTGAACATTGTAAGACCAGTTAAAATAGGTTAGATTTGTATCTATATTACTGCATTTGCAGAAAGTTGTAAGGTCCACATGTCAGGATAAGCTTTGTCTACTTTACTGTACAAAACAAATTGGTTGATGAAGAACAGAGACAAAGACGACTTTGAAAATTCAAGGGACATAATCGAGAGAAAACAACAAAAAACAATCAACACCAAGATCAGGAAAAAGCAACCGATCCTCAAGTAGATTCTCGATTACTTACGGGGGGTCCGGGCTCGCCGGGCTCTCCACGGGCTCCCTGGTATCCGGGCTGGCCCTGTCAGAGTCAGAGAAAAGAACAATTAGTTGTTGGGTTACAGTATTATATTCTTATATTTTGTTTTACGGGCACTAGCCACACAAGTAAAGTCATGAAAAGCACCTCATACAAATTTCATGGACATATTTTAATGCTGATTAGATCTAGTTAGTGAGACGGACATTTAGGCAAAAGATTTCAGCAGAAATATTACAAATTGTACTTTTAATTTGTTGACAAGTTTTTTTTAATGTATACAGATATTGCCAATTTACAAAATCTTAACCAATTTCCTTGAGAAATACAATGCTTATTTTGGGCAAGTAAATGAAGGGTGGTTAATAACATTCAACCCAATATTCGTGTCGGTGCGTTTAACGTATTAAAAGTGATTTTCAGGTTAGAAATCTGATTCATAACAATGATAATGTTATCCGTCATAACAAAAAAATAAAAGGTAAGATAACCCAATTTTAGTGCCTTCAAAGAGGTAATGCTGATTACGTCCCCTCTTCAAAATGATCAACACAACTTCAGAGTGGTGTGCGAACACGTGGAATAAATAAATGGATAAATAAATAGATCTAAATAAATAAATCATAATAAATAAATAAATGAATAAATAACAAAATAAATAAAATGGGATTCTACTTACGGGTGCTCCTGGGGGTCCTGGCATTCCGCGTGGTCCTGGGGCGCCCTGTGGGAGTGAGGAAATACAGCGGTCAGGGCATATGTTGGCTTTATGCGAGGAAACAATCAAACCCGTCCCTTACGGTCTTTCGTGATCACAGAGAAAAGTGACTGTTACAGACAGTTGGGCGTCTTGGATAGTGGTATTATTTTTTTATGTTTCTGAAAACGCCAGGGTGAAAGTGTGTGTGTGGGGGGGGGG